TCATATGCAAGTTAGGCATGTAAAAAATTACCTGTATTGAATGATGATCCTTTGTTCTGAATCTCCAAAGTCCATGTTCCTTGTGCCTTCTCACCCCAAAAATGAGTTGTCATAGCAATCCAATTTTCGAATGCATTTTCTGAGTGGTCATACTTCCGTGGAGATAGAAGATTTGATCGCGTACCAGCGGGAGAAATTAGATCAATAGAGAGATCACCATCTCTACTGAAGTCAAGGAACATTTTCACCTGCACATGTTCTAGATAGTTGACTTTTTCAGTCTGTGTATCACAGAAATCTGTCGTCATGGTGACAATGATTTTTCCACTGCCAGAAATTTTTCTGAAAGAGCAATTTCATCATTATACACATTTAGTGTAATTAAACAAAAATTAAGTAATAGATATTCATAATATGCATTCAAAATGATTATTTATTTTGTTATTGAGAAAATTTGGGGAAAGGCAAGGTGGGTGGCACAATCAATTAGAGGGCACAACTTTTTGTGCACAATAATTATAAATGAATTGAATCATCATAATAATGGTCAGCATTTATCTTTGTTGCCTTGGTAACACAATGAGCATCCTCATGGTCACTGTCAAATCAACATTCAGACTGTCGACAGTCCCTCAGATATAATTTGTTTTGTTTTTTGTGCATTGTGATTGGTTAATCACTCTATGACCTCACTCCCCATTCTATCATAGATTTTGCATTACTGTTGAATTTCTTCACAATGTGTAATGGTGATCATTACAATCAACATTTACAACAGTGATTGAAAACAAAAATTAACCAATCAGATGACCATCAAAGAATATGGCTTTGGTAATCTTTCGAAACCACTGCCATAGCCATCTTTCGATGCCCAGAATTAATAATATATCTATGTAATTCAACATGTGTTCAGCACAATTCACAATTTCAGTTAATTATTCATAAACAAATATTTGTAGGATTAATCTTGAATTATCGTCTTACTTAGCAATGGTGTCTACTGGTGTTTCACATTCATTTTGAGTGGGAACTTCTTTCCATTTCTCGGCTAATCTCACATGGCGCCAGCATCCATCATCCAAAGCCATACCAGTG